GCGAAGAATATTTATGGTTAAACAATTATTTAAGACAATTAACAACTTTTCTACAGTGAAAAAATTATTGGCAAAGACACTTTTGTAAAAGTTTAATTGAATTAACATTTAGGGTGTAATATGTATTAAAATGTATCACAAACACATTTACAAAGCCTAGTTAAACACGCATTTAGACTACGTTATACTTGCTATGTTTTATTTGTTATTTATGCTATATTTTGTTTGTTTGTATTCTAATATTCGAGTAAAGCTACTCAAGGGCTATCTGCGTTAGCCGCCCTTAGAAAGAAGGCAGATAGTCAACAGCGCCCACCGCCAACTTTTTGGCTACTCTTATCTGACCGAATTGACTGTTACATGTAATGAGCATCATGGCCCCAAGGTGCGGAGCGCATTTTTTTAGGCCTGGCATGGTCTGGTGGTTAAGGTTCTCAACTCGCAATCTGGTGGTCACGGGTTCGAATCCCCTTCACCAAACATGCTCGCCCTTTCAGCCGTGATGGCGTTATAATATGACAGTCAATCCCACTATTCGTTGTAAAAAGAGTAGCATAAGAGTTGGCGGTGGATAGTGTTGTCTATCCGCCTTCCCTCTAGCCTATCACTGCTCAATTAGGGATGGCTAGCGCAGACTGCCCTCGAGTAGCTTTGAGTGAAATTCAAAATAAACCAAACCAACTTTCTGTGTGTGTGTGTGTGTGTGGTAACGGAATGCGAATGATGGACCTCCAGATCCATATTCCAGCAAGTTAACCTCTGTGTATTCCTGACAAAGAATGTCTCCGTAATTGTCTAAGCCTCAGAGAGCACCACAACTCAAGAATGCGTACTTTTTTCGTTTCCTTCTTAAGCCTACAACTGCTATCTTTGCTGCCTTGAGAGGTTCCACTTCCTTTACAACGCCTTTTGATAGATTTCTTATCTCTTTTCTTCCCGTTTTGTGGCGGTGGATTGGAGAGAAATCCTGCAACCTCTGAAAACTCCTTCCTGTTGGCAATGTCTAAAGCAATCTCCCCTTGCTACAAACAAAAGTACATCACATAATGAAAGTCGTACATCTGGTTGTAAGTAATGAACATACAAAGCAACACAATATTAAAAGACATATTTAATAAGGTGATCAATTTGAACAATTTCAATCAAATATATTATTAGTGTGAAGGCTGCTGGTAATTGTTTCGAGTGTTAGGGTAAATTTTCTAAAACAGCCTTACTTGATTTCCATTCTCTGTCGGAAATCCAAAATTCTACTTCCTCATCTCATTGCCTACATTAGATCCTAGTTATTTGATTCTACACAATATGTTTTACTTAGTTTACTTAGTTGTAATGATTGTTTATACAGATATATATATACACATGTATATCATTCACTGGCAAAATACGATATTTTAATATCATTTTCCCCCAGAAAGTAAAAGCCATATTTTATTTAGAAAACCACCTCAGCTGACCGTAAGTTGAAGAGGGAATCAGGTCATTTTCAGAATGGCCAAAGAACATTGACCTAATATTTCAAGAATTAAACCTATATTTTAAAAATACTTCTGAAGGAATAAAACAATAAGATATATTACGTTACTTTACCGTTTCAGGTTTTATTTCTAGTTATTTCTCTGCTCAACAAAGTAACTTGCTAAGCCTAACCTTGTTCTGAATAGACTGGTCACAACCGGCTTCCAGCAAGATCTTCGTTAACTTTCTCTTACCCATTGCCGTGGCTATGTGTAAAGCAGTGTCTCCATTCTGTTAGGAGAGATAGAAACATATTGGTTACTTGCTAGAGTACT